ACGGCTCTTTCGCAGCTACCGTACGTTCTTCTTCTCGCATTCGTACTCCGTAAGAAAATATCCTCCGTATTTGTTTCTTTTTCTGGAATCATAGGCATGTATATATATATATATATATATATATATATATATATATATATATATATATATATATATATATATATATATATATATATATACATGCCTATGATTCCAGAAAAAGAAACAAATACGGAGGATATTTTCTTACGGAGTACGAATGCGAGAAGAAGAACGTACGGTAGCTGCGAAAGAGCCGTTATCCGCTTCCATTCGTCCCACCGCTGGTCAGTCGCCATCCTTGTCACCGGGAAACTAATCGCCGCCACCATTCGTGTAGTTGTGAACCTAGAAACGTTGTCACTTTGTCGCCATCATCTTCGATTGTTTGATTTGTTGATTCCCTTTATTTATCAAATCTTTCGAGGTGAGTTCGTGGATTTGTTCTTGCATTAGAATTCATAGGTAACGTTAATTCATGTATATAGTCGATCAAAGATTTGTATTATGTGGATTTTTTGTGATTGTTATTTATAGTTTATTACAATTAGTTGATCAAGGAGGAGGATAGACATTACCTTTTACTACAAAAATGGTTGTTGGTTTATGCTGGGATACCCATGAATGTTAAATCATTATAACTATTGAAAGTGGAACTTGATTGTGCACTGCTACTATAGTTTGGACCGACGGTAGAGAACTATCGAGCAGCGGTAGTTAGCTACCATCACACACATAAATCTGATTATCAACTCAACTCGGACAGTACCGGGGTACTGTGAAATGGCACCAAGGTACCGTACCATACAGTGAACAACCCCTCTTTGCTTGTTTGTTGTCACAGATTGATTTTGAGATCTTATGTGTTGCATGACGGTAAGTGGAAAGTGTTTACACCCAACACTAGGCCGATATTTATATTATATGATGTTTTATCCGAATATTGTTATCCTCTTCATATATTTTAAATATAATCTTGATATGCCTTGAACGAATATAATGAGTTGAGTTTGTTTGTATAAACCTGAATATGAAGAGATGTGGTAAATAAATGATTAGGTTACCTAAAGGAACTCTATGACTGCTAGTGTGAATGTAAGTGAAAATGTGTATAAGTATAATCAGACTTACAAATATGATATCTGATGGCTGGGGATTAAAATGTACGTACGTGATCCTCAAACTATCGTTCAAAGGGGATAGGGATACCACCCACCTAGCAGAGAACTCCTTCGTTTCTCTATCCAAAAAAATTCGTATGCATGATCGAAGGATTGAAAAGTTGTAAATATCTATGTTTCTTCTAGAGTTTCATAGCATGGAAAGTGATAGGGAAGCAGAGAATGGCTCACAAGAAACAAAAAAAGAAACTCCATGCCCTCGCTCCAATTACCAACACTCTTCTTGGAAAAGAACTCAGCAAACATACTCTCAATCTCATTCAATTCGTCATGCAATAGAGATCTGTCTCTCTACTTCTAGCGGCTATCCTCACAAAACTACTCCCATCATCTCGGTCCTAGTACACGAGCTCCATGCTACTCCTCGTTACCGATGATCTTGCTTACTAGAAAATATTAGGAATATTAAGAATAATAGGAAATAAATATCATAGTTAATTACTTTCATTATCCCATTACTTCTATATATAATTCTTATTCTAATATGGTTATGATAATCTCTTGTATTCCTTATATATACAGATGAAACCTTGAATATTTAAAAAGACCAATTATTATCACATTGTTAAATATATTCTATATTTAATGTAAATATATTGTTTCCTATTATTGTCTCCCACATATATAGACATGTACTCCCACATATTCAATCAATGAAATTAACCTTTCTACATGGTATCGGAGCCTAAAAATCAAAAACCCTAAACCCCCCCCTCTCTCGTTCGGCCTTCTCTGTCGCCGTCAGCACCGACCCCCCATGGCGGCTCTCTTCACCGGCGACACCCTCTCCCCCTCGGCGGTCTTCTTCTTCCCCTCACCATGGCCGAAAACAGCGAGGTTACTTCCCAAAATAACTCCTCCAAACCTCCTCATCTTGCTTTCACAACAATCTCAAATGTGAAACTTCATGTCCCCATTCCACTCAGTCTCTCCCAACCTAATTACAAAAAGTGGAGTCGACTCTTCCTTCTTCTGGTTCGGCGGTTCAACCTCAAGGGCTACATCGATGGCTCCGTCGTCCCCCTCTCCGATGACGACGATGAATGGTTCCAACTCGACGCTCTCCTCCAGGGTTGGATCCTCTCCACCATCACTGATGAGGTCTTAGATCTAGTCATCTCCTCTGTTTCTACTGCCTCTGCTCTCTGGATAGTCATCCACGACTTATTCCACGACAACAAACATGCCCGAGCTATGCAATTGGAGCATGAATTTCGCACGACGGTCAAGGGTAACTCAACCATGGCAGCTTATTGCCAACAACTGCAGAATCTTGCCGACTGGTTGGATGATGTCGATGCACCAGTCTCCCAACACCAACTCGTCCTTCAAATGCTTCGTGGTCTCCCCGCCGATCTCCAGGCACAAACATCATTCATGCAATTTCAGGATCCCATGCCCACGTTTCTGCAGGTTCGATCCGCCCTCATGCTGCTGGATCGACAATGGACGAGTCCCTCCGACTCGGGCACCACGGCGTTTCTCACGACCCGAGCCGGCGGCAACACCCACGGCGGCACTCATGGCGGTACTCCCGGCGGCTATGGCGGACAACATGGCGGCACAGGCTATGGGGAAGGCAACTCCGGGCAACGTGGAGGCTATGGACGAGGACAAGGCCGTGGCGGTGGAAATCGCGGCAGAGGTCGCGGACGTCAAAACGGCTCACGACCGCGGCAATCCTACGACGGCAACAATACCGGGAACTCACCGTACCCTAACCCTAACCCAGGTCTCTTAGGCCCACGCCCTACTCACCCCTACCCCGCCCACGCCCAATACACC